GTGTTTCCCGTGGCGTGATGGACATCCAGATCTTCCTGCTGGCCTCCAGCAGGTCACCAGCAGCTGTTGCTGGGTGCTCAGGCCAAGATATTGCGAAGAACCTCAAAAGGAGCTCAGAACGCACCAAGTGCAAGGGCTCAGCAGCACTTTGGAGAGGGACAGAGGGAGGGTACAGGATGGTGGGATGAGCGATAACATTTCTGCCCTCCGTGGCATCTCGTCCAGGAGAGTGCTGAGCAGTTCAGGCTCCTTGCTGTCCTGGGCGGCCAAGGCTTGGCTCTTCTAGAGGCGAGGGGCAGGTGAGCTGCAGCACATCAGGAGCCTGGGGCTACCTGCTGCAGCCGCGTGGCTTGGTGGCCTGTCTGCGAGCCAAGCTGGGCAGTCCTGGCTGGCACACAGGTCTGAAACTGGGTGTAAAGCGGCAGGAGTTTGGGCACAGGGAGCCTTTGGGAACAGATAAAAAACCCAGCTGGGAAAGCTACAGGTGCAAACCCTTGTCATGTGGACAATCACATCTCCAGGCCTGAATTTTCTCCTTTATTTGTCCACTGCAGCACCAATTCCCAAGGGAATTGCTCACAAACGACAGGAGGTGGCATGGCAGGGGGAATGCAGCCCCTGCTTTGCATGCAGCCAGCCTGTAGTGACGCCACCGACATGTGCGGATGGATGATAACCCCAGCGTCGGTGTGACTTTATTTTGTTGCAGCCAGCGAAGCTGTACGATCCTCAGGCGGCACAGCAGACCTGCGAGCGGACTGTCACCCCATGGCACGAGGGGTGCCAGATGCACCGTGCCAGAGGTGGCCACAGGCAGTACCGACACCGGCACCTGGGGACGGAAGGAGTCAGGGCCTGGGAGGAGCAGACCCGCTCCTGGCACTTGGCTCTTCCGTGCCTTGTTTCCATTTACGAGATATTGCAGATGTGACAAACTTTTTCAAGTGAGATGGAAGGTTTGGGTCGGGGGCAGCGCCTTGTCTGAGCAATCCCACGTGCGGCAGCGTGGGACGGATGGGACCTCCCCAGTCCCTAAGCTTGTCCCTTCCTAACCCCATCCTCTCAGGACGATTCGTCACTTGCTCAGGCCACCATCCTGCCCGTGCTGGCGCTGCACAGTTTGTAACTGATTATAGACCCGCACAAAACCAAGAGCCCGCGCAAGAAGACACAGAGCTTGCAGCTGCTTTTGTTCATTTACCTTTGGCAGCAAGCGGCACTGTAGGAAGATCCTTGGCAAAGCCCAGGAGCTCTGGGAAATGTTGGCTGAGTGATTTGGCAAGAATGTGCAGGAAGGTGGATTTCCCATCAACTGTCTTGGTTGTGTTCAGCTGTGGCAAAGCAAAACGAGTGAGGAGATTCCTGTTCAGAGGAGAGGGGGTTTGCCAAGCACCCGAACACACAGGGGGCTCCTCTGCTCTGCTTGGCCCACACGCACGGTAACTCCTGGCCATGCTACGTGCATTAATGTTTAAATAGGACATTTAATGCTTACACAGCATGTTACACCCACATTAGTGGTGTCGAGATGCTGAGCAACCCCTCCCTCCCGTGGGCCAGCGCTGTCACCCTGTCCCCCACCCCTCAGCACACCCACGTTGGATAAAAGACCTTCGTTTTCTCACACTGCATGGCCAGAAGGGCTGGAAGGGCTGGGGCTCAGGTCTCAGCCCACGGAAGCACCAGACCACAGGGAGGGTCTCTCAGAAGCCAACCCTGTACATCCATCCCTGCCCTCCCACCGGAGCCTTGTACTAGGACAGGCACGATGAACCGGGCACACGGAGCTCCCGGCGTTGGTGCCTCCTGCCTGCGAACAAGCACATTTTGTCTTACCTCGGTGAGAAAGTTGATTTTAAAGCCTGTTGTTTTGCTGGTCTTCGGCTGCCCGTTGTTCAGATAGTTCCCCATCGCCAGCACAAACTGCAAAGAGAAACCTCAGTGAATGACTTGCCAGCGACCTCCAGCACCCGTATCGTCCCATCTCCTGTCGTACCTGCTTGTGGGTCACAGAGACCCACCAACGATGTGCTAGGAGTGGGGGTAAAAAGCCCCCCTCTGTCTACAGGATGGGGTGGGAGCACCCTTTTTGTGTCAGGTCACTTCTGCTAAAGGGGCCCTGAGCACGTGCTCGTAGAGCACCTTGAACAAAACCTCATCAGTTTGTTCAGGGGGTTATGAGGTGGGTGAATACCTGCCAGAGGCAGCATTTCTGCTGGTTCTGTACACGCTGCTCATCCTGTCACCCCCACGGGGCAGCCGCAGCACGCTGGGAGGAGGTGGGTGCGAATAATGCAGCCCCGCGGGACAGGGGTGGTGGCCCGGGCTGTTGTTCTCTCCTCCGTGCTGCTCCCGCACGAAGCCTGCGCTGAACCCTCCACGGGAAAGCCCCCGATTCAGCTACAGGGAGCGATCCTCCCCCACTGCTTCTCCCGTGTCTTCAGCCGGGGCTAGAAAACAGCCCCCCCTCTGCAGAGTGAAACTTCCACAGCCCTTAGGATTGCTCCTGCCCGGTGGGTTATGCGGACATTGCCCCGGAGTCCCCATCCCTCCGTCGTCTTCCCTTGCAGGACCAGGGCTAAGTCTGATGGTCCACCCTGAGGTCTGCCTGCTGACTAAGCTCTCCTCTTCCCAAAGCCTTTCGTAGCTGTTATCTGCAGAGCTTTAAGGGGATCTTTGACAGGGAATGGTGACCCAGCAGAGCCAGTTTTCCCCTTCAGAATGTGCTGATTCCTTGTGCTGTGGCTTTGCAGTCCCGGGGATACAGCGGGGCCCCGGATTGGGCTCGCCTGTGTCCTGACATCCCTGCTGGGGCCTGGTGAGTAGTGGGGACCTCAGGATTGTCTGGATTTCAGACTGGGACCCTCTGAATTTCTGTTCATCGCCTGTTAATGCGCAACCAGCCATTGCCCCCCAAGGACTTAATGAGGTGTTGGGGGGGTTACTGGCCAGCAGCCACTAAAGGTCCATCTCTCATCTGGAAATGCCTTTTGTCACATCGTGTCCTCATTTATCCCCACCTGCTTATTTTAAAAGCAAACACGAATGAATTAACATTAATTTGGGGCAGCTCATCGCAGAGGGGTCAAGGAGCAGCTGCGGTGGGATTTGTTCTCTCCTGTGAGCCCAGTGCCCCCCCATGCCTGCGGGTGCTCCGGTGGATGCTGGGGCCCCTGGTGGCTGTTAACCAGAAGGGAGGCATGTTCTGACCTCCAAGATCTTAGCCAGCTTCTTGCTGCTTTTCAGCTCTAGAGAGGCCTTGCAGATGCACTCGTAGCTAGCCTTGATCTCCTCTGTCTTCTCCTGCAAAAAAACAGGCTGCGCAGCCGGATCTTGTATTCGGGTACTGACAGCATCTGAGAACAAAAGGGGGAAATTACTGCTCTCACCAGCAGCCATAATCCCTTGTGTGGGGTGTTTTTCCTGGCCTGTTTCCCTGCAATGGGAGCAGCAGGCGCTTGTCACCGCAGACGACGCAGCGGAGAACGGCCACAGGGCGGGGAGGATTCGTGCCAACATCCACGAGTGACTTTGTGAGCAGAAAGCAAGTCAGAGCTGTGCAAAGTCACTCTCACCAGCTGTAAAGCAGCCTCTGTGACAGCTACCAGACACCTCAGGCATCAGCCTCGAGCATCGCTCACCAGCAGCAGCCCCTGTCACCAGCGCCACCAGCTCTTCCCATCCCAGTCCTGCTGACTGCTCCCTCCCCTCCAGCTCACAGCAGGATATCCCGGTGACACTCGCAGACCCCCTTGCTCCCGGAGCACGTCCCTGCCCACAGGTACCTGCAGCACGAACTGGTCGGGCTCGCTCAGCTTGCCGGGGTTCTCCTTGTAGCTCTGGAAGCGCTGGACTTCCTCCCCGTCCGGGGCGTACAGCAGGAGCTGCTTGATGTGGGAAGGCTCCAGGCGATCCGTCTCCATCGTCATGAGGATCTGGCGCAGCTCGATGTGCGAGAGCTTGAGGTGGGCTATCAGGATGGCTGCGGGGAAGGGAGGCATGTCACTTGGGAGCGGAGCAGGAACGGACCCTGGGGAGGCTGCCCGGCAGGAGGGGGCCAGGAGGAGAAGCTCAATCTCTCCACGGCCTGAGAGCGGCGTGGACTTCTCCAGGGTGAGCCCTGGGGAGAGGAAGGGCTTTCTGCTCCCCAAGACCCTGCAGAGGCTGTGTGGGGACCCTGGTCCTGCAACCCCCTAGGCTATTGCACCACGTGCATCGCACATGAGGCTGGGCTGCTCTGCAAACCACCCCCAGCACCTCCTCCCCTCGCAGATCCCTGGGAGACCAGGGTCTCTTAGGGTCCCACCGAGCCCTCCCACCCTCCTCCCTGCCTCCGGCACAACCTGGAGAAGCAGCACAGACCCTTCCCCAGCGGGGCCATGCAAGCTTTGCCCCTCTCCCTCCCCAGGCTGATGAGTCACATCCCATCTCCATCCTTTCCCCATAAAGCCACTTTCTTCTGGGATTCTTCCCCCTGCCTGGGGCTGAGCCCAGCCCCGAGGGGCTGCACTCGCTCGTGGGATTGTGCTCATGCAGCCTCCTTCCTTTTACCTTGCCAGTTCTCTACATCCCGGGTCCCATCTCTGGGCCCGTTTTGGGGGGTACGTTCACCACGATGTTTACTTACATGTGTTGTAGGCCTTTTTGTGGGACAAAATTTCAACCACGTCTTTCTTTTTAAAGTTTTCAGGCATGAGAGTTGGCTCTGGAAGAGAAACTGAAAGATTTAATCACGGGTAAGGACAGGCTCAGCCGGCTCCAGCAGGAAGAAAACTGTCCTGAAAACAGCGAAACCATGAATGAAAGAGAGGAGAACTGATGCTTTGCACACAGCAATGGCTCTGGGAATCCTTGAATTCTGCGATTCAAAGATCTCCTCAATGGAGGACTCAGCTGGAGCTGAAAAAGGTAAAACGAGAGGTGAAACACACAGAAAACCCCAGGTTGCCCAGAAACATCCCCAAACTGATAGCTCCTGAGAAGAATCCCATGTCACGCCACTTCCACTGCCAGTCCTGCCTGTACCTGCTCGCTCTGCCCACGCTGCCATCCTACGTCTCAGACATCCCACCGGCCTTTTGCTTCTCCCAGTGTAACCACAGCA